AAAAAGAATGTGTATTTTATCAAATAAAATAAAATATTAAATAATGGCAACTGTAAAAAATAACAATATCTACTATTTAAAATGAAAATGAGTAAAAACTAAATTTATTTACAAAAAATTTACCTAAATACCCGCCACTTCAAGGCATTATTCATATTTAACATTAAGTATACGCACTGTGCAACAGCTTTATAAAGCTCAAAAATAGCTTCCCTGCAGAAGCTTCAAAATTTTCCAAAAATTATAAAGCTTACTTCGAAAACTTTCACATTGTGCCAGACAAAACTTTCACCACACCGTTCAGAAGCTTTCCCCAGACATATTTACCTCGGAAAATCCGTCTTTAGATACATTTCAGCCAATAGCAAAACCGTCAGAAAGCTTTAAAAGCTAACCCCTTGAGTCTAGATACAAATTTATTCACCGATCCCTGGCAGCCATTAGCCGGAATTACGCGGAAATTGAGTACCATAACCTTGACATTCGAGGCGGGGAAAAGCGGAAGTTGGTCCAAAAGGTTAGCCGCTGCACCTGACAGGAAGCGTGGCCCGGAAATCGGTGCTTGGTGCCTGGTTATCAGTGCTTCTTTGGTGTTTATTTCTTTTTACTTGGAACCTCTCACAATGTCCTCCAGAAGACAAATCAAAGAGTTTGCCGCCTCCACAAAGCTGCCAGGAAAATAGATTCATGCCGGTAAAATAAGAATACATAAATGTGTATATACATTATGCACTTAGCAGCCAATTTTCCTCAGCTCTTTGAGGTTGAAGGTTAAGGCTACACTGGGAAAAGTAATGTTCTTTATCAATAAATAATATATTTTCATTGATTTGTATATCCTTGTAGGGTATTATAATTTTAGTCAAAAGCTTAGAACTAAGTGAAGGAGTCATTTCCAACCCTATAAATCATATATATTCTTGATCAGCATCAACAGGGAATTCGATCTAGTCATCTCCGGTAAAAATAAAAAATTTAAAAAAAATTCAAATATTTTTAAGGGGTAACCCCTTGTTAAAATTGTAAAAAAGAATTGAAAAATTTTTAATTTTTTTACATTTTAAATTGAGTATGCAGATTTATTAACCTAATAAAAACTAGCATAAAGACGGTTTCTGAATTAAAATTAATGCTTTTTTGGCTAAGTTATGAGTTTTTAAAGCTTTAATTTGTTGATAAAATTTTCATATGTAGAAAAATATCTATAAATATCGATTCAAAGAATGCAAATGTCTTAGGCTTAGTAATTGCAAACTGATTTTGTTTATTATTCATTCCCATAATTCTTCCTAAAATTGTAGACAAAAATTTCCATTTATTTAAATTTTTATAAATTAAGTTATAATTTATTTTTGCAACTGCATGAAAGCGGTGCAAGCTCACTCCGTTTGTGCAACATTTTTGAGTGGATAGTTGCCACTGCGGTTGTCACCTGCCAGGTGATGTTGCAACACAGGATATTGTGGTTTGAGATATGCAAAAGTCAAAGGTCCCACGTTGTGGGTGTTATTCAATGAAAATCTAAAGATAGCATTCGCTGGACATAAGAAATTAGGGTATCAAATGGGTCTAAATAGTGCCTTTTGGTAGTTAAGAAACTAGAAAGAAATTGTTAAAGATATTTAATTTATGGTATCAAAGTTGCCTCATTCTGCTTTCTAAAATATTAAAATAATTAAAGAAATACTAAAATTACCTATTTTATAAATTTTATAGTATAAAGTAATACATAAACTCATAGTTTCTTAGAGGTTTCCGAATATTTTTAAATAAAAACAATAAGAATTAAGAATCATGAAATAATTCAACAAAAAAGAAAAATTCTTGCATTTTCAAAACTTTATTTTAATTACTTTTCTGTAGAAAACAAAGGGGAAGAACCCCTCCGAAAAAAGAATATGCAGGTTCAGGGCATACCTGTATTTATAAGTACATATTATATATACATATATATTTATATATTCGCATTCATGACTCAATTATCTGCAATTGTTATTTGTTTGTCCTCACTTTACATACGTAATGAAGTCTGGAACTCAAGCAAATATTTTTCGTATTCCATGTGAATTTCTTGGGAAATAAAAACCATACCCACCGTCCACCAACTGAATTAATAACAATTTTCCTCTCTCTTTTCTTGTTTTCTTTCAGGTGAGTTTTTCATATTTTAATATTGTTGCAATTATGAATAAATCGTAAGTAGAGGAATGTTTATATATATTTATATTTAAAGCTTTAAGTAAGATATCATATTTCTATTTGGGTATTTAAAATTCATTTATAATATTCTGTAAAGCCTTCGTTACTCGTAAGGACCTCTGGCCAGTTCATTAGAAACTCCTTTCGGTTGCTAGGCTCTGTCTCTTGTCTTTAATTTCTGCAAAATTCTGTCAGTTTTAACATATAGTTGCATGTGGCAAATGCACCACAGATGCCGGCCGGATGTTCAGTTTATCAATAATTGAGGCCCACAAGGGACAAGGAGGGGCCAAAGGTCCTGCTTCGACATATTCAATCAATTTAACTGACATTTTCTATATCTATACGCCGCTTTCAATTATGTTAACTATGAAATGGATACGAGAAACGAAGCTGATGAGTGGGATAGTCTCAATATATGTATTTATGTAAATACAAGCAAATATTTCAAAAAATATATTAAAAGGGAATGAATACCAATACTATTTAAATAGTTAAATAATTTAGAATATTTATGAAACAATTTAAAGGAGAGCTTAAAGATATAATGCTCTCTGTTCTCTGAAGAATGTTAAATATTTCTTTTCAAATAAAAACAACTCAAATATATGCTTAAATGTTATAAAAAAAAGAGACAGTAACTTGTATAATCGCTTGGCCCAACCTGGCTTCATTACGAAACTACAACCAACGGGCCAAGTTAATTACGAAAGAGCGATCTTTCCATTAAACAAAGCAAAACACTTGCACAAACTCAATTGGAATGGAAATAAAAGAACTCAAATGAAATGAAATGAAAAGAAAAGAAATGAAGGGAAGAGGGGAAAAAACATAGAAACAAATGAAAAAAAAACGAAAAAGAAAATATATATAACGAGAACAAACAAAGCCAAGTGAGCAAAGAAGGAAGCAAACAATTTCGAATGCTGAAACAAAAATTGACTTAGAAACTTTAACTGCATAATGGAAGCTGCTGCTAGCCCCGGAAAAGCTGCGAAAAGTGGGTATAAAAATTGAAAGCGGAAATGTGGCCAAGGACCTGGACAACAAAACAAAAAACTTTCCATTTCCATTGGGATAAAGGAGCGACACTGAGCGGCATTTATTCCCTGCAGCGCCTGATAAATGTTTGCTAATTTCGTTAATCATACGCCGCGTTGCCCCTGGCATATATATACATATATATCCATACATACTTATGTATATATATGTATAATAGCCATTGTTGTCTGCACCATTCGGATGACTAATGCTCGGGGGATGCTGAAGCTAAAGCTGCATCTCTTCATCATCACGATTCCTCCCCATCACCATTTTGTTGCCAATGCAGCTTAGCCCCTTGTTTTTTTTGTTCCCTCCACTTTTCAAATTTTTTTTTTTTAACGGCCCAGTCAGTCAGCTAGCTAACGAACATGTTAGCCTGGTCGACAAGAACAGCCAACTAAGACAACCATCAACTGGCCAGGTTTTAGGCCAACCAAACAACCAGACAGCCAGCCAGCAACATGTTGGCTCGTCCAGGGCTATTTGCCGAAGGCACAGTGGTTTCGATTGGGATTTATCGCCAGAAAATTGTAATTAGAAATGATTATTAGTAAAGCAAGAGTTGGTTTAGTCCTTAATTCTTATTCTAATGTGAAAGAGATATTATTTGGTAATATAAACTAAAGAGTTTAAACAATATCGGTCGATCATTTGTATGGCAGCTATATGATATTGAAGTCCGACTGTTATAAAATTTTAAACAAAATTCTTGACTAAAATATATATTCTATATATTAAATTTAATGAAAATCTGTTGAAAATTGGAAACGTTATAAGTTGTTTTCTTAAAATGTTCCTATTGTTCCTATGGCAGCTATATATATGTATATATATATAGTCCACCGATTCGCCCTGCTCCGATTTATATACGAGTAAAATTATATAGAAGAATTGTTCCATAGTTTTATCGCTTACTCTTACATTTGTTCGAAAACATATCTCGCACATCTGTGCTTATGATTCCCAACTGGTACTAACATCCCCGGAACGAAGTGACTGCTGCCAGCCAGGTCTCAGATATGTGTTGTGTTACAAAAGTTGCAAGTCATTGTTTACTAATGTTCAAAGTTAGTAACTGATTATACATACTTCCGGTCATAGATACTTACTGATCATAGTTACTTACTGGTCATAGTTACTTACTGCTCATAGATACTTAATGTTCAGAATTACTTAATGTTCAGAGTTAATTACTGCTCATAGTTATTTGCTGTTCAGAGTTATTCAATGTTCATTGATACTTATTGATCATTGTTACTTATTGATCATAGTAATTTGCTGTTAACTGCAGCTACAGTGATATAGTCGTCCGACATATATACGATTGAGAGTATATAGAAGACTAACTTCTAACTGAACTTATATTAACCCTTAAAAAAATTCGATTTTACTTCTCTCTATATACCAAACCAGTTGAAATTCTTTGACTTTGATATATCCACAAAAATTCTTTCTTTCAAATAAAATGTGTTAATGGAACCACGGCTTTGTGGCAAACATTCTGGCAGCCGGGCTTTCGATTTTGGTCTATTTGTTTGATTTACGTTTGCACATTGCCTGCCAATCGGCATCGAGAGCACAATTTTGGGATTTGTTTGGCTTTTTTCTAGTAGACCGCATCGAGCTTGCTTCGAACCTGTTCAAGTTCAAGCGTGTTCGAGCATGTTCAACCATGTTCGAGTCGTGAAAGCAACCAATTTCAAAGGCATTTCCTACCGCTTATCGCGTTGCCAGTTCAGTTGCAAATCAGACGTCTATCGTGGGAGTCGAGGCAACAGCAGCAGCATAAAAGCATTAAAGCATAGCAGCATAAAAGCATTAAAGCATAGCAGCAAAAATCGGAGCAACACAACATCATCATCATTTCAACTCAACTTTGTTCGTTCTCAGTGCGTTTCATGCCTATTTTTTTCCAAGTGCTACCTATATTTTTTCCCCTTCAGTGTGTGACAACAAAAATATAGATAAATATATACATATATATTAAAAATACAAATAGCTAAAAAAAAGAAAGAGTCAAACCAAAATCGAATGCGAAATGAAGCAAATCAAAGTGCAAAGACTCTCCAGTGAAGTGAAGTGATCGCCAAATAGGAACTATCACACAAAACTTGTTGCAGCCAAAGCGTTAAAACTTGTTGCAGGGCCCCACTTAGACAGTAAAAAAAAACAAAACAACCTAGAACCTAAAAAGGTAAAACTTAATAAACGCGGGGGTGTTATCATTAAATCAAAGGCAAAGCAAAAAAAAAAAACAAAAAAAAAGAGAAAACTAAATAAAACGATCAAAAAAAGGCAAATGACAAAGTGCCATAAATAGAACCAAATCGAAATTGAAAAAGTAATAAAACAAAAAAAACTAATCGCCTTTATTGATTGTTATCATTTGTTTCCCCCAAAGCGATTCGCTGATTAATACAGTGGCCATAAATATTTGTTGTATTTTAAAACAGTAACAAACAAAAAAAAAAGAAATACTAATAGAAAAGCCAAATGTGATAAGTCAAAAATTGTATCGATGATTAATGATGCTGCCCGGGGAAATGTGAGGAAAATAGGGCAGAGCTTTTCCCCCAAGGAGATTTAAAAGGAGATCAAAAGGGAAAGCTAAGAGAAAAGCTTAATCAGCAAAATCAAGAGGAGAATCAAGAGTTTATAGTTCACGATAATGACTAATAATTGAGGTTAAATTTGTTTTTTTAGAGGGAAATATATAAATTTTATAAGAATTTTTTAGAGAAAAAATAACTTTGAGGATTAAGAGTTTGCAGATTAAAAGCTCCTTAAATTTTCTTATTAAAATCACTTTCTAGTCTTATTTAATTTATCTTCCAAAAAATACAAGGAAACTTCTTGAAGAATACCTTTCTCTTTAATCACCTTAAAATATTAAAAATAAATGAACACACTATCATTATTTGCTTAGAGCTTAACGTTGTCTGTGAATTTGCTAATTTCACATATTCCACTGAAATCTTATCATCTTGAGTATTTACTCTTAAGAATAAAAAATCCCAACACCCAAAAGACTTATCTATCAAAAATCGCATGCTCCAACTAAAGAAGAGCTAATCGAAAAAATAACTTGTAAATAAGAAGAGAGAGTTTTTTGAACCCATCAAAATAGAAATAAAAAACTTTCAAACTATGACTCAAATGAATCACAAGAAAATGGCACAGAGTCTATATTATATAGAACCATAATTAGCATAATAAACCCATAAACTTATAAACTCTATAATATTGTGTCTAGCCGGATATTAATTTGAAGATGAGCTACTGTTTCTGTATTAGTCTCTGTTTTAGTTTTAATTTAATTATATTTTTCAGTTACTTTGCCCTCACTTAGTCAGCCAAAGAAATGCGGCCGTCTGTCTAAGAATTTTTTTTTGGCAGCAATCAAAATTATTATAGAGAGCATATAGCCCAAAAGCAAGAACAACTCACACAATGTCCCAAGAAAATTAACACATTTTGACGAACTTGTGTGTGCGGCTGGCAAAAACAATTTAAAAATATGTTTATTTTCTTTCCCTATCCCCTGGCTACCATGAAATGGGGAAAGTTTAGGAAACTAAAACGAAGTATAGATGCTCTTTAATGGTTTCGATTTGGGATTAAAAAAAGTTTTATCAAAGAAATTACATCTATACAATAAAAAAAGGAGAATTTGTAAGGGAATAATTGTTTTTGAGTTTATAAAAGCTAAAAAGAAAAAGCAATTTGTATACATTTAAAAGTCCCTACAATTTTTAGTTAGAAGAGAAAGTATTTTGCAGGCTTAAAAATAAATTAAAGGTCCTCAAAGTCATTATAATTTTGTTTAGGAATTCATTAATTTTTACAGGCAAATAAAACCATACTATTTTTACCCAATCAATTAGTAAAAGAAAGGATTCTCTTTAATAAACCTCCCAGGACTTAACTTAATAGATAGTACCTGCTAATCCCTTGATAAAGTCCAAAACTGCCTCTGGCAATTCACAGGGAAGAAACAGCAAAGAAAAACGAGGAAAAAACCAGAGGAAAATGTTGTACCAGAAGACAGAGGAACGCACATTCCCCGTTGGCTTGAGGAATTCATCAAAATTGAAATGAAATGCTTGTGGGTCTGGTGGATAAGTGCTCCTCGTGTCGCATAATTAACGCATTCCCCGGTGCAGCCTCCCCTTCCCTTCTCTCACTCTTTAAGATTTTAGGAGCCCAAAACAACACATAATCATCATCATCATGGTGCTGTTAACTGGGCTTAAAATTCATTTTCCTGCCAAGAACGAAACAACGAGAAAAAATATACAGGCCAATACACAGAACCGAAAAACAGAACTTATTTATAAAACTGAGCAGTCGAGTGGATGAATATGCCGCTCCTCTTGCCCGCTTCCACATGGTATTATATTATTATTTCTCTTTTTTTTTTGGGCCCTGAAACGAACGATAAAAATAAACCAAAAGCCAGAAACGTCCAACGAGACAAAACAGTTTTTCAACCAAAAAGTCGCAAAGGTGTAAAATGTATTGGGGAAAATAATGAGGGAACAAATGAAAACCGACCGAGCAAGTGAATAAATATGTGAATAAATGAAAGAATAAATTCTTGTTCGCAGAGATAAATACATAAAACGACGCAGCTAAATTCCAAAGAAATTTGAACAAAACAAAAAAAAAAAAAACAAGTAAAGCTAAAAAGCAATTAAAACAAATTGTGCCGTAAGTCAGGTCGGTGGGCTTACAGGCCAGCAACAAAAAAAAAGAAATACAAAATATATAACAATAATAATAAACAAAGAACAACAAGGAACAAGCACCACCGAAGGATCCAGGACCCCTAAAAAAAACCCCCCACCACACCGCCCCAAAAAGGTAACCAGGAATTATTTAATTAATATTTCATACAAAACAATCAAAATGAAACTCTCCAAGTGGAAGAGACTTGCCTCTCTTGCCCCAATGCTGCATACTAAAAAAAAAAAGAAAGAAAAACCCCCCAAAAGTCCCAACCCTGATCATATATATGTATATAGCATATTTATTACATTTCTCTGAATATTATTTTGCAGTCGATTGCATTTGATTCGATTTGTGGTGGAAAATTATGCACAATAAATATAATATATATGTATGTAAACAAATGCCGGCGGGCATTGTTTTTCGATAGGCTTCAATGATTTTTTTCGGGCATAATATTTTGTAAAGCATTGACTTTCAAGGGTTACGTTACGTTGATTTTACAATGCATTTTCCACCTGTTTTCCTCGCCATTTTTCCCGCATTTATTTATGCGAAAAACAATTGAAATCAACACACAAAAGCCAAAAACTTGTTGAGCATGATATTCAGCTTCATTCTGTTCATTTATTTTCAGTGGGATAATAAATGGTTTTTAGGGATTAGTTTGTATATTTTATTGTTATTTTTTTTTAGCAGCTGCAAAAACTCTGGTTTAACTTCTATTTACATTTCCATAGACAAGGTTTCCCTGAAAATGAAAGCCCTTTTAATTAGCCTGTAATTAATAATGCCCAGATTTACCGCCCTCCGATTATTATGCATATAATCTGTGGATATTCATGAATATTTATAATCTGCAGAAATAATATGCTTAATATTTCAAAAATACCTGACGGCATTTTTGGTAGGGCCTTTTGTTTCACTATTTATTTTTCTTGATTGTTTCACAATTGTGTTATTTCATTGAGATTAATTAAGCAATTTATGCATCGGCCTCAGACTCGATTTTAATTGCCTGAAAATTTGCAAGGCCATCTGAATGCTCATTCTGAAAACGGATCCACTCATCTGCCACTCGCCGAGAGTGGTTCTTGAGGGAAACACCACAACGCACCATCAAGGCACCGTCCCACCCAGAGGCCTATCAGGAAAATGCATCTGGAGGAATGTCTGTCAGACGATGGAAAGTGTGCACATTATGGTTACAGTGTGGGCCAAAATAGTAGAAATTCTGGGGGAAAATTATTTAAAATTCAAGAAACTGTGAAGAATATTCATTAATGCTAATTTTAGTTAGTTTAAATGCTTAGGGAAAAGGAGTATAAAAAGAAATATAGAAAGGTTAATGTTTAGCTATTACAATTACATTTATTTTAAGCTTAGATAACTACTAGATTCTCAGAAATGAAAATCTCAATTATTTCATAAAATTATCTCTAAACTTAAGACCAAAAATCATCTATAAAATCTCTTCTTTGTCCAAACTAAACCCCTTTTTTATACCCTTTCAAGGTATTATAATTTTGTTCAGAAGCTTATTGCGATGTGAAGGAATCATTTCCGACCCTATAAATCATATATATTCTTGATCAGCATCAACAGGCGAATCAATCTAGCCATCTTTGGCAAAAAAAAATGTGCAAATTTTTTTCAACATTTGTTAAGGGTTTCATAATTAAAATTGTCAAAAATCGAACAAAAAAAAATTTTTTTTTTACATTTTAAACTGAGTATGCAGTTTTATTAACCTTCTAAAAACTAACATGGGACAACTTTCCGAATTAAAATAAATACTTTTTTGGCGAAGTTATGATATTTTTGAACTTTGATTTTTCCCAAAAAACAATATAAAAAATCGATTTTAAAAGATTATCATATAAAAATACATCATTTAAAGAAAAATATAATTTTAAACAGTGAAGGAGTCATTTCCGACCCCATTAATCATATATATTCTTGATCAGCATCAACAGCCGAATCAATCTAGCCATCTTAGACAAAAAAAAAAATTATTTTTATTTTTTTCAAAATTTTTTAAGGGTTTCCATTATGAAAATTTTCAGAAATTGACAAAAATTTACATTATAAACTGAGTATGCAGATTTGTTAACCAAATAAAAACTAGCATAAGGACACTTTCCGAATTAAAATTAACGTTTTTTTGGCTGAGTTATGCGTTTTTTTAACTTTGAATTTTCTAAAAAATATATTGATTACAAAAATGCGAATATTTCAAGAATAGTTAAGATCGTTTAATGATTTGATCTTATATTTCAAATGCAAACAGCAAGGGTATATGAACATTGACTTCCCTGTTTACTTTTACTCTTACTCCGCAGTTTCTATTTGGGTAAAATATTTTAATAATATTTAAAATATTAATCACGCAAACTTAATCACAAAACAAAAATGCGATACTGTTTCATAATCGCAGGAGGCAGATATAGAGGGTAGAAAGGGTAGAGAGGTTGCTCAGATGGCTGGGATGGGGGCCACGAACCATACCGATAAGATATCAAACCCTCAATGCGATAGAGAGCCGTCGACTTAGGGCCTGAAGTAGGCATTTTGGGGGACAAGAGCTCCGCAAGCCCAAAAAAATTATACAATTCACACGGTAGATAACACCCGGGAATCAACTCAAGTGAAGGAGCTTAGCCCGGCGTGTGACATAACCGGGTGTCCACTGTAGTAGCCACGATCCGATCTCAACCGAAATCGATTGACGCATATTAAATCCATCGGCGACATTGCGACTGGGAAGGCCAGTGAAATGTACTATATATAAATTTTTATTTGTATATACATATATGTTTCACTATATCGCTATTAACCTCTGAAGAATGGTAAAAATTTTTAGAAAGAACCTATAAAAATCTTGACACAAAGATAAGCCAAAACACATTCGTTGCAATGATTAGATTTCAATCAAAAGATATAGATTTTTTCGATTGCCCATCATCACGCGATTTAAAGGAAACAGAATGAAAGATGAAAGATTAGAAATGGGTTTAGTACAAATTAATGATCGATATATGTGATGAATAATATAGATCTTTTCAAAGATATATCGATTTATGAATTTTTATATAGCTTATATCTATAAGAAATATGATGTATATGTATTTAACTTTATATTTTTATTAAGCAACTCACACCTTGATTTAGAAATAAAATACAAAGATATTGCATTCATTTATCGATAACTTTACCATCACTAAACATATATCGAAGGATTCCATTAAAATCGATTGGCAAATTAAGGACATAAACCACAACTTTCGAAACAAGATTGTCAAAAGAAAACAAAAGCAGCAAGTAATTGAGGATTTTCTAGAGAAAGAAAAAATTGCCAACACATGTGTCTTTACATTTACATTTAAATGGAAAAAATTGTTGAAATGTTCGATCAGAAGTTTGGTGCATGCTTTTCCCTTGGCTTTTATGAGTCATATTTGCAAGGCAAATGCTTTCTTTTCGAGCTGTACATTTATTTGCAGTTGAAAGAAAACGCTTTTCCAATGAGTTGGCCCAATGAGTCATTTTATTAGGGAAGCAGTGAACCCGACAGTTTGAGTGCCAAGAAATCACAGCCTAATTTTTAGGGTGCTTATTAAAAGTGAATCTTAAATCTATATACCATAAATTGACTCATTATTTGGGCTTCCTTCTGATAAATCCCTTTAAAATCCATTTCCTTTTGGCATTCTCTTAAGCACTTAGCCAGAGTTCTCATTACCTTCTCAGTGCGAATGAGCCATTTTGATTCATTCGCGGCCATTTTCTATGCGGCACGAACTCCAAGTGATTGAAATGTAATTGACAGCCCTGTCTAAGTAGCTATGCCCTCTCTCTTTTCCCATTTTTACATTGAGATACACACAGATACTCAACGCAACGAAATAGAAAAAGTAAAATAAAATACAGACACAGATACAAGATACAAGACACAAGTCGCAGCTGTTAATGCAAGGCTAGTCATGTGCTTCGATTTATCGACAGCATTTCTATTTGTACTTTTGCCGCAAAATATTTACACAATTGACAGCTGCTTCTGTGTTCACCGCCCAACATTTTCCACCCGCTTTTCTCCCCCACTCCACATACATTTTCCCTTCACTGTTGTGAGTGTGGGTAAGCTGAGCTGGTGAGCTGCTTTATGTGCTCCTCGTACCAAATGAATTATCAAAGCTTATTGTCACATAATCTTTGTCAACATGACTCAGAATACCCTCCACGGAATGCTAAGCCAGCGAATGCTGCAAGCTCCTGGCTTTATCCCCTTGGAATATCCGAAACTTTGGAGGAGGGTGACACTCTCTGTGTGGGGTGAAAATTGTTTTTAATAGCGGCTTTTTCACAGGAAATATATATAGGAGAGAGGATAGGGGATAAGGAAAATCCATTTAGTTTAAACAACGCTAATTGAAATTAATTTGACTATAAAATTAATAAAGCTTGATTAAGTCGGCAAAATTAATAGGAATTTTCTTGCCACAATAATTTGTTTAATAATTCATAAGCACATGGAAATGCTAGAGATACTTAATTTTATTTTATTTTAATATAAATTATCCATACAACTCCTTGGCTTTAAGAAACTACTCTCTCTCTCTTTGCTACTCTTTCTCGGTACAATGGGGCGTATACGTAATATTTCAATTTGCTTTCATTTTAGAGGTCGCTCCTTTTCCGTGTCCTCCTATTTTCCCTACTTTCTCTTCACTTTCACTTATCTCAGATTATTAAACACGCCGAGGGGTGAATTTTCTTGACTCAGTTTTTCAGGTTTGAGCTTAACATTGGTTCACAAGTATACATTAATACCCAGACCGCAGAGTTCACACAAAGCCACAGAGAAAGATTGGCTAGATGGAAAAGGGGAAGATAACCTCAAATCAGTTGAAAAGTTTTGTAATTAAATAGTAATATGAATGCGTCTGGA